ATATGCCCTATAGCAAATTAAATAATAATAAATAAAATTAAATAATTACTTTAAAAAACTATTCAAACTTAAAAGTTGAATGAACAATATCAGAAACACCCATATACCTTTTATCTAGAATCACCAATTCTCATATTTTGCTGTATTTACTTGCTCTCTCATGCCCACTTTCTCTACACACAAAGTATATAAATACACACATATACATGTATGCATTCCTTTTTTTTTTTTTTTTTGCAAAATATTTGAAGTATTAGACATTATAACACTGGATCTTTTCGTATATATCTCTTAAGTAGAAGGTCATTAGGCCAGCCTGTGGTTGTTAAAGTGTCTGGATTTCACGTGGCTGGCTGCGTAGTTCAAGTCCCGGACCTGTTGGCTTGAGAAACACCTTGTGCATATATGTCCCAGATCTCGAAATGAGAAGTGGAGGAGGGATTGGAGCATGATTATTCCCCATGGGGTGTGCTTCCTTGATTTCCTTCTCTCTCTCTCTCTCTCTCTTCCTCTCTTTCTCTCTCTCTGGCCAGTACATGAGCCTTTTGGCAAGTTAAAAAAAAAAGGAATAAGGTCATTATCTATATAATCATAATACTAGTGTCACACCTAAAACCTGACAAAACTGTATTATATAGAGTTCAAGTTCAGATTTCCCCAATTCCAAAAATAATTTTATAGTTGTTTTACTTTTTGACTGAGGATTTAGTTAAGTTCATGTGTTGCTATGTCTCTTTATTCTCTTCTTTTAAAAATGTCTATTTTATTAATTATTATTACTGTTATTCTTTTTACGTTTGCTATAGGGCACGTATGTTTACTAGAGAGAGCAGAGAGAGAGGAGGGAAGTGAGAAGGCAAGCTCTAGGTCTTGGACTTAACTGTAGCCAGCCATGGAGTCCAGCACCTCGACCACCGTACCACCTGCTGGCCCTTTCTACTAGTTTTTTGCCTTAGGGTGTACGCCCGATCATTGCTGGGAAATGGAATTCTCTAGATTTTTTCTTTGAATTATTTTAACAATAAGATAATGCATCAGGATCTTTAAGACCACCCCCAGACTCAGTGATTCAGGTATTCAATAAGTACTTAACCTGTATTTGTATTCATGGCTAAGATTATTACAAAGCAAAATCAGCAAAGGGAAAAGGCAAACGGGGGTAAGGTCTAGAAGAAGCAAGAATCCTCTCCTAGTGGTGTCACATAGGACAGGTTCAGTTTTTCTAGCAGTGAGCTGTGATAATGCTATGAAATATGTATCGGGGATACTCACGTGAGCCTAGGAATCCAAGGTTTTTATTGTGTCAGTCACATATGTACACGGTTAGCGTGTGTCAGAATTCCAGACCCTCAGAAGGAAAGTGTATGTCCAACATAAATAGTTTAGGGCACAGTGAGCCATTCTTATAACCATTTAGAGAATGGAGGGATGCCTCCCGTGATTTAAATTCCCAGGTGCCAACCAAAGGCGAGCCTTGGAAGCAGTCCTTTCTCAGGACAGCTGTCTCAGGCCTGCAGCAGATTTCTGCCCAGGTGGTGAGAGCTCAGGGCTGTAGCAGTAGAAATAATGAGACATAGAAGTTGCAGAGTAAGTTCACAGGGTAGGATGACTTGGTGCGCGTGACAGGTTGGTGAAAAGGGGGAGAGAACATTAACCAAGATGGCAAAAGAGGAGTAGGTTTAAAATAGAAATGGGGAGATGATGCGAGGACTTTTAAACTTATTGATCTTGAAATGCCTGTGCTTTTTCCTTATGGTGCTGTTTGGTGGAGATCAGAGTTGGATCAGCGAGGGGGTGACTGTCAAGGGAAGCACGTTCGCAATAGTCAGAGGTGGAAACAACCCAAGTGTCTGTGGGTCGATTATTGGATACACAGAAGGTGGCATTTATATATTGGGAATGTTTATTCTCTACATGATTTTAGAAGTGTGGTTTTTGTTTTCAAACTTCTTATAGAGAAATGAGCGGGAAATTTAAGGACAAGATTCTTTCTGTGCAGTTATTGAAATCCAGTGAGGATGAGAACCGGTGGAATCTGAAAGGAAAGGCAGTGTTGCACCATCACAGACGTAGGGAGGCCTAGAGAACGCAATGTGACCTTTGGGAAGGTCACTGAGTATCACAAGAGGGGAGTTTTCACAGCATTGTAATCAACGAAGCCAGATTGGATGCTGTGGGAATCGTGGATTTTGTTTTATTTTTAGTGATCGAAAAAAAAATTTTTTTTAAAGATTTTTACCATAGAGCACTTGTGCTTGCCAGAGACAGGGAAAAGGAAAGTGAAAAATCACCCCCTCCCCAGGCGGGATGGCCATGCCACAATCTTCTCCATTCTCCTCTCAAGATTTTGGACACACTTGCACATGCATCCTGTTTGTTTTTCAAGCTGTTGGGTCCAGAATTTGAACTGCCATGTAGGATCCAGCGCCATAACCACCATGCTGCCTGCTGGCCTTATATATTTTCATTTGAATAGATATATTGAGAATATAAAAAATTGATTACTTTATTTATTTATTTATTTTTAAAGAGAGATTTTTGCTATAGGGTGTGTTCACTCACCAGAGAGACAGAATGTGAAAAATTACCAGGGGGGATTGCCATGCCACAATTCCTTCTCCCCCATTCTTCTCTTGGGATTTTGGGCATGCACGTACACGCGCCTGGTGTGTTTCAAGCTGCCGAATCCAGGACGTGAACCACGGTCGACTACATGGGAGTCTAGCAACATAAGCTTTACACCATCTGGCTGGTCCCAAAATACCTTCGTTTTAAATGCCACCAGACTGGGTGCCTTGCTTCTCTTCTGATTTAAATTCTCTTCAGTCATTTTTCTATTCTGTGAGTATTTAAAATGCTTCATTTGTCTCCTGAGTTTTTAAATAGCCACGTATTGAAAAAACTGGTTAATGTTAGCAAAGGGCCCATCACCCAGGAGCATCCAAGGTTCAGAGAGTTGCAGATCCCTTTTGATCTTGCCACAGTCTTAGAAAAAATAAGTTTAAACTAACCCTTTCCAGGAGCATACTTATATGTAAGTTCTAAAACTATATTTGGTGATTAATTTTTTCTTACTGTAAATATAGAAAAATTTTAGCTTGTAATAACTTGCCATTATTCAAAAGAATATGTGCATAAATGGAAGCATCTTGTGATTAGTAGTGATTTATTTCCTCCCCACCCAAAAACAACTAAAAATTTGAAATGTAATTGCAATCCATTATCTTGGCATTAATGTAGCCAAACTGCTCTTACATTTGATTTTAATCAAATCGTATATATATTTTTAAATCCCTTTGTCAGTGCCTTCAGTATAATGTTTGAAATGGCCACATTTTATGTTTCTCCAAGTCCTGCTCTCTAGCAGCTTTAGAACTTGCTGATTGGGGGACCAGCAGTTGGCGTAATGACTATGTCATTGGACTCCCATGTAGTCGACCGCAGTTCGAGTCCCGGACCCGGCGGCTTAAACTCACCCCAGGCGATTGTGTGTGTGTGCCCAAGATCCTGAGAGGAGAATGGAGGAGAAGGGATTACAGCGTGGCCATCCCCCCGGGGGGTGATTTCTTGCTTTCTGTCTGTCTCTCTCTGTCTTTCTGGAGAGTGCACGTGCCCTATAGCAAAAACTTCTCCAAAAAACGAAAAAAATAAATAAATAAATAAAAAAGGACCTGGCTAATTGGGAAAAAAAGGTCTGATGGGCATTGAATCACAGGTCAGTTGTGTCATTGCTTGTGGAGTCCAAGGTAACTCTGTGACTCCCATAATTACTAGCACATAAGAGATTCGCCAAAAGTTAATCCTCGCCAAAAGTCATTATTTAATCCAAAATCTAAGAAGTTGTAGAACACTGGAAATAGCAGATGGCGTAGTGGTTATGTCGATGGACTCCCACATGGTTGACCATGCTTTGAGTCCCCCACCAGGTGACTTGAAATTCACACTGGGCATGTGTGCATACATGACCAAGATCCCCAGAGGAGAATGGAGGAGAAGGGGCTGCTGTGACCCGGGGCCGGGGGGATGGGGGGTGGGGGGGTGCGATTTCTCACTTTCCCTCTCATTGTCTTTGTCTCACTGGTGAGCGCATGTGCCCTATGGTAAAAACTGCCTTAGAAAAAGGTTGTAGAACATTATAATTAGATATCATGGTCATTTAGGTAAACCTAAGAGAAATTTGGATATATACTTCGCTTCATTATTGGAATGCAGATTTGAAAGTAAATTATACCTCAAGTTCTGAGAGGCAGTAGTTCCTAGCATGTGGTCTGCAAATGAGAAAGAGGGCAGGGTGCATTCTGTATATTACTGAAAATATCACTACCACAAATAAGTCACTTCTTTTTTTTGGAGAGGTGGTTTTTTTTTTGTTTGTTTGTTTGTTTGTTTTTTAGTACAGGGCACATGCACTCACCAGAAAGACAGAAAGAGACAAAAAGACAGAAAATGAGAAATCATCCCCCCAGGGGATGGCCATGCCACATTCCCTTCTCCTCCATTCTCCTCTCAG